TATTAGTTTTTGTTTGAGTTTGTGAATTATCGATAGTAGTTTATTTTCATAGAAGAGAACAAGTATTATCTATCATGGACTTTATATTTCGTATCTGATTGTGTATGTTCAAATGACTTTTTCTTTTTTGTACAGTTGTCCGTCTAATGATCTTTTGAGTATTATTTTAATTGGAAAAAGAGAAGAAAAATGTATGATGACCTTTTCTAGTTAAAAAAATATCAGCATACTTTATTTTCTGTTTTTATTAGCATACTCTCTCATTCATTATTAACAAAGTAAAAATATAAAATCGTTAAGAAATTTTTAGATGATAATAATCTTGACTATTATGTAATAGAAATCAAAAATATAATTTTAGAGTAACCATTTTTTTTCCTATTCATTTTGCTTTATATCATTTTTTAGAGGCAATATCTGTCTGAGAAAAATAATAATAATTGATCTGTATCATACTCCTTTGAGGAAGATTATGTAATTCAATAATTGTTGCACTTTTAGTCTGTCGAATTAGTTACAATTACATCATAATTTCTATTAAATGATATGTATTTGTATTTCCTCTATGTCAAAAATATATTATTTATACAAAAATAAAAATAATATCTTTTACGTTTCAATCACATATATATTATAAATTTTGTCATTTTTTTTTTTTTTTTTTTTTTTGTTAAATGTGCTAGACATCGACGTGTTTTATTCTGTTTTCAATCGCTTAACATAGATCACACACAATTAGAATTTTTCGTCTAGAAGTCTGTGAAAGAATTATCTTTTCTCTTACTCTCTTTCATTCATTCACACATGCATACATCTCAATCAATCATGAAATAAATGTTCTTTTAAAACAAAACCACAGAAAAAAATCTTACTTCGAATGTCAAAAAAAAAAAAAAAAAAAACTTAACAGAAAAAAAAAGTGTATAACAAAACGCAATCTTTGAACATACAGACGTCAGTTCTAGGTCACATATACTTAATCTAGAGAAAGAGAGAAAAACAGAGAGAGAAAGAATAGCGTGAGTTTCAATCTGGACCATGTCCATCGTAATCACTATCATCATTTCCTATCGGTTTCCTTATATGTTGTTATTATTTCGTTTTTGTTTCTCTCGGATTTGATCTTTGTCGTTTTGTACATAGAAAAAGAAAGGAAAGAAAGAAATTATTTTCTCCTTTGTTTAGTTTGGTATATATGAAATGAACATATCATAAAACAAAGATTCGTACATAGATTTTTCTTCTTTCTTTTCTTTCATTACCAATGCACGTTCCAGACAGAAGAAATTAAGCAAAAAAAAAAAAGAAGAAGAAAATAAATGATGAATCCGTCTATATCCATCATATCATGTCCTGACTTATTACTTGTCATTAACAAAAACTAACGTTGTAAGTTTAAACAAGTATTTTGGAAGATAAATCTAAACTTTTAGTCTCAAATCAAAATGAAGCATACTTTCAAGGTTAACGGTGAAATTTTTAAATGTTTTTTTTTTCGTTTTTTTTCTTTTCAGAATGGTGTAATTACCAGTTGTTAGACTTCTAGATGAGATAGTCTTTCATATACATAACAAACGAAACATTTGTTGTTCAGAGATTCCTTTTTATCCTTTTCTTTCACTTATTTAAAAAATTGATTCAAATTTCAGTTCTTAACTCTTCTCTTCATTTTTTTTTCTTCTTCTTCTATCAAATGCAAATCAGCCTACGCTCGATCAATTTCTATTTATTATTTGAAGTAGAATTTTTTTAAAAACGATATTCTATATTATACACAGGGCCATTAAACGGTTGGTGTATGTGCTCTTTTCTTCTGTATGTGTGTGTGTGTGTATGTATACCGTACTCTTTCTGCATAAAAAAAATACAGTAACGAATGCCGAATGTTTAATGTTATTTTTGAATTTTATTAAAAAATCCACACTTTTTTTTTGTAATTTGATCGAAATTGAACATATGTAAAGTGATGAAATGTAATATCGTAAGTTGACCTTGAATGGTTTGAACACGTTGACAAAAACGTCTACACTAGTTTGTTTTCTACATAATCAGGATAACTATACCGACATATGATCAAAATTTAATTACTAATTTTCTATAGGCTCAATATGTTTTTACTCATTGATTACATTAGATAGTAGATATTGGTCGTTAATATCAAATTTTTATAACTTCTGACAGGGTAAAGCTCCTTTAACGCTTGAATAAATCGTACATCTTTTGTAATTTGACTAAACACTGTATATACCATCAATTGGAATCATGAGTATCTTCTGTTTTCTAATTTGATTCCTTTCCTTTGTCATATTGTATATAGTGTGAAAATTCTATATCTATTGAACAATCTTCAACAAAATTTTCGATTATGGATCAAATTAATCTGCCTTTCTCATCTCGAAAGCTACTTTGTTTTACTCTAGAATTCTATCTACTCAGATTGCAAACTACATATTTTTTCGTTTTGTTTGTGTCCACGTTCTTCTTTCTTCTTCTTTTGATCATTAGTTTCTCCTGTATTCTAATAATATTTGTAAATCTACCATTTCTGTCAATAGATATGAGTGTGTATATGTGTATAAACGTTAATGATGACGATGATTTTATCATAATATAAGTGATGAACAAAATAAAAATGAAATATTCAAGTTCTCGTTTCGGTGTAGCCTACATAAATAAATTTACATAAACTATTGTATATACACAAACATATTTCTTTCTTTTTTTTTTGATTGTGACAATTTCTTCGTTTCTCTACTATATAGAATTTTTTAAGAAAGGGAAGAACAAGAGTGTTTGACTAGCTTCATACACACACACACACACAACAGATAAGTCTGAAGAAGAGACCTTGTTGTTTAAGACAACATTAGAGAGAGAGAGATAAAGAAAATCCATGTGATGACACAAGATGGCCAAGTAAATATGCTGCATGTTTCTCTTTCATTCTTTTTTGGTCTTTAGCACAAAAGGCGGTACTCACTTTACATTAGATCAATGGAAAATGTACCGCCTTTTAGAGATTGCAGATTTGATTATTCAAATGTAAGAGAAAAAACATCAGTCATAATGGTTGATAAAAAAGAAGATTTCTATAAAATGACCGAATTTCTTAAATTACTTACAGATATAATTGTGAGAGTTTGATATTTGTATGAAATATAGAAAAAATTCAATAAAATCTTTTACGGAATAAGATGAAATGTGTTCAGATGATACATTCAGTTAAATTCAGTTTCCATTACAATACCGTTTGAATTTTTTCACTCGAACTGCGATACTTAAATAACCATACATATGGTAAGAATAGCTATGTTTATCTAAGTGAATGCCACGTGTAAGACGCATGTCATGATGTATTTTCACTTAAAAAAAAACTTTTTGACTGTTGTTTTTTTTCTATTATTAATACATAACGAAGCATCTAAAAATTGTCAAAACATTGTATAAAAATAACATATTCGAATGTATGAAAAAAAAGAGAGAGAAACAGAACATTTTTTGTAAGATTTCAAAAAATTAAGTGACCTTCTTTAGTTTAGTTCCATTTATTTTCTTTTTGAATAAAAATTCTTTCTCTCTCTCTCTCTCTCTCTCTCTCTCTCTCATTAAAAAACAATATATATCACAACAACTTGAGAGATTTTAATTGCTTTTTTTTGTCAGTTTAAGTTTTTCGTTTTTGGGTGTACATTGTACAAATGATGATGATGATACGGTCAAACGTTAAAATAAATTTGTTTGATAAATGGTTGATAACGCAAATAATATACGAGAACTGCCTATCTCTGTCTATTTCTGTCATTGTAATATGTCATCGTTTTCGCTTTCTTACATATGTATATATGCAGAGAAACAATTGGCCTTAAGTAAAATGACATCTTATTTAAAAAAAAAATTTTTCCCCTTTCGTAATTGCTACTATGTTTAACATAAAAATGAACAAAATAGAGGTCTCGTTAATGTATAAGGTAATATTTTCAAATATTCGGTCAGTTTTCTCGAGGAAATGGACAATATTAGAAGAGGAGTTCTATAATAAGAAAAATCGTCGTGTAATATTTTTTGATTGATACAAGAGAAACTTTTGTGAACAACTCGTTCATGTTTCTTCTATAATGTCCAACGAAAAAGTATAGAAAATTTCTAAACCTTCTGTATGAAACATCGTAGATACTCAACCGATAGCAATAACCGTTGGTCAAGTAAAAAAATGTGAACTCTTTTTTTTCTTCAAAAATATGACCTTTTTAATTATTTTAAGCTTTACTGAAGATCCCATCAGTTTTTTTTGTAATTTTGATCTAAATTTTTAAAAATCGTATTCTAAAACGTTCTATTAGCGGGAAATAGTTGAGCAGTTTGAGATTTTTTTCTCCAATCTTTTTAAATTAAATTAATCTCTATTGGATTCATTTTTTCCCAAATAAGATGACGGTAGCGCTTAGACATCCAGTTTCTTTTGTTTCTAAAATGTTCTAATGTAAGTTAAGGAGTTTTAAATATACTTGCTTCGGTGATAGGAAATACTTGTTTTAAGCTTTGAAAAACATCATATGTTGACATAATCTGGTCAATTTCTTTTATTTATTTTTGACATAAACATTCTTTTAGAACAAAAGCATATATTTACATATGAGTAAAATGTTAAATAGAGAAAACCCACGTATAAAGTTGTATAAAATAAACAACATTTTAGAGAAAGAAGGAGAGAAAATTTAAATCATACTTCCACAGATGAAAAAAGAAAACAACTTTTTAAAAGATCATCTTTCAACTTTCTCTCGTCCTCTTTCATTCAATTTTTAGCTAATATATGTGCGTGTCCGCACTCAGAGCGCATACACGTATATATATATATATAAGTATATACCATGTCAGTTTATTTACATATAAACCACGATACTTTTGAATGCTAAATTTTGCCCGAAATAATATGTCTGTAATTTTTTATTCTTCCCTTTTCAGAGTTAATGATGTAAAACTGTTTCTTTAAATCAATTATGTCTATTCATTATAATAACAACACTACAAATACCAATAACAATGCCACTGATTTATCTCCCTCTTGTTTACTTGATCGTTTTGGACTTTTAACAAAATCTTCATCCACATTATCAACAGCATCTACAAATTATTCATCGGCTTCATCGACATTATTATCACCTACAAATAGTTTAGTAGCTCAAAACACTAATAATAGTCATCGTCATATTAACAATTTAACAATTGATAATTCGGATGGTGGCTCTGTGGATTCTGATTATACATCATTAGCTAGTTCAAAATTATTTGGCAATGGTTCATCAAATAGTCTCCATCGACAAGGACGTAGTCAATCGATTGATGAATTAGCTCAACAGTTGACAACTACTACAACATTTCCAACAAGACATTTTTCAACAACATCAAATTATAAACCAACCAGTTCACTTATGAACGATCCATTACAATTCGTTAAAGTACAACCCAATCATGATCTTATCGAACGAGCCCAAGAACAATTGACATTAACTGAAAGGAGACGATTACAAGAAAATAATTTGAGGTTAAATAATTTGAATAATACAAATTCGAATACGACAATATCAACAACAACAAGTCTAGAAAAGAAAACAGATGATGATACAGATTGGTCGAAAGTAAGTGAAATTTTTTTGTTAATTGATAAAAGTTTTATAAGTTTAGCTTGCAACTTGTAAGACAATCGTTTAAATTAGCAAGTAAAAATTTTGTTACAAAATTTCTGGCATTCAAGGTTGTCTCAAAGACGACAGTGACAAGGTTGTCAACTTTCTAACAGACTAATATATATTATCTATTTCCTTGATTGTGTATGTTTATTCATGGATTTATATATCCGGATAGATGTCGTCAGTATACTTTTCTCTTGATAGTAAATTAAGTTACTGATTACTGATAAAATTCTTGTTTATTTCATAGTATCCTACTCTCTTAATTATTAAGAAAAGTTAAAGAAAATCGTAATTTCTTCCACTCATATATTCATATCCAGTGATAATGGTTTACATTAGTGTTTTTATACATGATTAACTTGTTTCGTTATCTGGAAAAATTTTAATTGGTATTCTGTATCGTTGAATAAATCTTTAAGTAGTAAACTGTTATCTTGATAATACATCTGTTAAACAATTTTAACAGATCAGAAATTCTAGTAACAAATGAGTTTTTTTGAACGTTTTCATTATTAAACATAATAAACAGATAGTATTTTGATTAACATGAAAAAACGTAGATGTTTTTGTTACAGTTTATATTTAGATCAAAAAAACGAGACAATTTTTGGTTTCCTCTTAATTATCCATCCATTTTTCTTAAGTATTTTTCTTTTAAGGTGTTTATCACCATTGTACGGTAGCATATAAAAACTAAAATAGTCAAAAACTCTGAGTAATCTTTGAAGTGTCTTATATCAAATGATATTATTTATATTTACATTTGTTTTCTTTTATTTTTCGAGTAGAAAAACGTTCTTTGATTAAATCAGAACATTTACAATTTTTATTTCGTCTATGATAAATAAAAAAAAAGAGATTCTAAAGAATTGATTCACTTCTCATAGTGGCGATAAAAAAAAAAGAAAAATTTATGGAATTTCCTTAAGGCTATAGGTGACAAATAAATGTTGAGTATGTGATGTTTATTAAAATAAAAATATATCATCCATATTGCTACAGAGCATGAAATTTTCTTCTTTCTTTTTTTATTAGATATTTACTTGTACGTGTTTTTGTGTGCTTCACTACTCAACTCTATTTTAAATTAAAAATCTTACAGTTTTATTTTCCATTTTTTTTTTTTTTTTTCGAAAAAAAAGTACTTGATTGGTATTGTAATATTGACATAAAACAAAAAGAAAAAAAACGAAGAAAGACATTACTTCAATTTTTTTTTTCTTATCATATTTCACATGAAAAAAAAAAGAAGAAAATCCTTATCAAACAGCACATTCCTTTTCAACATTCTTCTCTTTCATCATTATACATAGGAATTTTATCAATTTGTTGTAACTACTACGTTGTTTTCATTTTAATCGCAAAAAAATATGCGACATAAATTACAGATTCAAAATATTAGAATATAAAGGAGAAGAAGAAAAAACCTGAGAGTTTGTCCGTAATTCTTTTTCATTGCTAAAGTAGTTTTTTGATACTGACGAGATGACAAAAAAGTGAGGTCCTTTTTTTTCTTCTTCTCTCTCTCTCTCTCTCTCTCTCTCTCTTAAAAAAATTGCAGGTCACAAGAAAAAGAAGAGAAGGAAGTCAATGATTAGGTTGTGCCTGTCCGTTTAGAATTTTCTATAAGATAGTTGCGTAATCTTTTACTCTTTTTTTTTTTATTATATGATTATATAATCAAACTATTGAGGAGTAGTATAACCGGCATCGAACCAAACCTTGTATAGATGATGACACGCAAAAGGAGAAAAAAATAAATGAGAAAGAAAAGATGCTAAAGATGGAGACAATGATTGATATTTGTTAATTTATTTAATGGTGATGGTATTCCACCTTTCTCTTTTCCATTTTCGCATTAAAATTCTAACGTAACGGGGGTGGAGGCGGGCAGAGTTTAGACAGAACATAAATTTATAGAACAATGTTGTGCTACACACAATGTAGTTTTCAGTATTGATAAGTTTAATATTTGTTGAATGAAGTAGCAAAGATCTCATTCTCTCACATTTTCTTCTTTTTTTTTTTTTCTTTTTTTCTAACAATAGATTTGAATTTGAGTTTAATTTTGTAAACAAAAATGTTACTTTCGTGCTTTATTCAGTATAGTAAAAAAAAAAAGAAAAAAATTCTTTCATTCTAAGATGACATAAGATGCGCCTTTTTCGTTTCATTTCATTTTATTTCATTTCACATTTTTTTTTTTTTTTGAGAAATGGCAAACAACAATTTTTATTTTGAAAATTATTTGCTCTCCTTAGAGATATAAAAGATTGGTGGCTCAAGCTATGTGAGTCCACGCATAACTCGGTCAAAACAAAAAGGTTACATTCATTTTATTAAGGATTTTCTCTTTTTTGCTCATACACACACACACACACACACCTTGCCATCTATACGTATTGCAAACAGATCAAATCGAATAAAAAAAAAAAACCTTACGAGAGAAGAAGGAACATCAAAAAAAAACAAACGTTTGTGTATTTTCTCTCGTCGAAAAAAAAAAAAAAAAAGAAGAAAAAACTAATGGTTGTTTCAATTATTTTTCTAGCGCGACATACCAACTCGCGCTTCTTTTCACGATGTATGTATGTATGCATATAAATATAATAAAATCTTGACTTTTCTGTTTCATATTCAATAAATAATAATAATCAAAATTAATTAGATGAAGAGTATGAAAGGATCCAATAATAATATAAATAACAACACCAAGAAAAGTTCAATATCAAATTATTCGTCCTTCGTTCGTAATGAGCATAATTTTGAAGATTATACACAAGTGCGTAATGATTTATATTTTTTTTACATCTAATTGACCAAAAAAAAAAAAGAAAAAAAGAAATTGATCTAATATTGAACTGTGTAGGCTTACTTCAAGAATATTTTTATATCCAGACAAGGATAGATTTATTTCTCCTAGTTGAAGATAACACTTATAAAAATCAAAAATTAAGCAAAAGAAAATGGATACATTGATTTAATTATTGCGTGAAAATGATCGAGTTTGGACAACATTATTTTTATCACTGCCACTAAGAACTCTTTAGAGTATATACAGTCTTGAATCGTTGGCATAGTTTTTATCTGTTCATTTGTCTTGCATTAGTGTTTGCATATAAGAAATTGCGGATCTCACACTTCAAACTCTCTGTTCGTACAGATATTTTCTAAGGTAAAGACAGTTTGAAAAAGAATAAACCTATACAATACTACGGGAAATTTTAGTATAAAAAATGATTTCTGCGAGATTTCTGTAGAGGATCCTCACATCACTTTTAACACTAAGATCGTCTGCCACTCAGTATATGATTCTGCACGATTACATAGACTCATATGATCAATCTGAATCCTGTTCATGTTATACTATAAGAAAAGTTTTTAGTGTTAGAAGATAAAGTTTACGAGTATCAAAATTTTTCTTTTAAATTTCAGTTTAGCAGAAGTTGTATACTACATGTGTATGAAAATAGAACATCTGTTTGATGGTATTTTTCTTCTCGTTTAATAGTTAGGTCGATTTTAATCATTATACACGACACATTGTTTCTGAGTGAGAGAGTAAATTTGATAGAGTCAAGAAAAAGCTATGAGTTACGAACAAAGGTTAACGATGATGAAAATACTCTTATATTCTAAATGCTTTTTGCTAATATATTTCTGTCTGATCTTATATCAGTTGATTTTTCTTTCTGTCTTTACATGATATTTTCGATTTATCTATTTTTGGATAACTGAATTTTTTACTTTTGAATTATTTTCAATAGTTTGAAGAGTTTTAAATAAAGTTGATCCTGCAAGAGTCTGACATCAGGTTTCGGCCTACTATAGTCAAATCTTAGAAGCATCGTTCAATTTCTTCAAACTATTGAAAATAATTCAAAAGTAAAAATTCAGTTATCCAAAAATAGATAAATCGAAAATAACGATGCTTCTAAGATTTGAGTATAGTAGGCCGAAACCTGATGTCAGACTCTTGCAAGATCAACTTTATTTAAAACTGACCATGAAAGATATTTTAGCCTTTTGTATCTGCTGTTCTGTGTGTACGTTCAAGATTTCTGTTTTTGTTCTAATAATTAACAGTAGTTTAGATTAGGTCTGTGACAGATCATTATTCGTTCAACTGCAGTTCCTCGATAACAGAAACTGTTTTTCACTTGCCGTTCCTGAACTCAGAACGGTCCAACAGTTCACATTCATAGGAACGAGAAATGGCTTACAAGTTTTTCGTTCTTTCAAACAGAAACTATAGTTGTTTTTGAATGAGGGAGTGTTGATGCTTTCCTTCTTAGTGCTCTGTTAGTTTATTATGTATTCGTATAGCAAACATTTTGAAAAAGCAAGTAAACTAACAGATCACCAATATGGAAAGTTCCTCATTCAGAAATAATTGTAGTTTCTATTTAAACGAACGAAAAATTGGTGAGCCGTTCCTCGTTCCTATGAACGTGAACTGTTGAACCATTCTGAGTTCAAGAACGAAAACTAAAAAACAGTTTCGATTCAATAAACGAGAACTGAGAAACAGTTCCCGTTCAAAGAACGAAAAGTGTGAACTGTGACAGATTTATCTCCGATCAGATAGTTTTAATAGCAGCTATCTTCTTTTTATTTCTTCTTTTTATTTATGAATAGGCTTTTGTTGTGAAAATGTTTGTGAAAAGTCTAACGGAAAATCATATTTTCAGTCCTTGCTCCAAGTGCTTCAACTACGAACCCGATCCACATAGCACATCCGTTAGTGAGAGTGACATTAGAAAAATTTCTCACAGAAGTAATACGAAATTGACGTTTTCATTATTTCTTACAATCAAAAACAAAGATTTCTAAAGATTTCAATACGAAAACAAAAATTTGTTTTCATTCTGTAAGCACACACATCCATTATCGACGATCCTGATCTTCCATTTAGTATTCAAAGTATAGAGAGAATCGTTCATAAGTTGTCACACATACGAATATCAAAACGTTGAATATATCCAGTCCAGAGATCTACATGGGCC